CGTGCAATGGTAAGAATATTTTCATTCGGTGAAAGATGGAATGTTCCATTCAACTCGGCTGTCGCCTCGTTGAATGGAACATTCCATCTTTCACCGAATGAAAATATTCTTACCATTGCACGAAGAAACATTCATTATTTGTATACTAATGCATAAGACTCCCCATAATGGCCGGATTTTGAGGGGAGGGGTGGGGAGGTACGCACCTCCCCTTCGTTAATACACTGATACATATGCACACTACATACATACGTCTCGTCGGTGTTTCAACAAACAAAAAGTATTATATAATTCTTACCTCTTATGTCTGAACAGCTTGGGCAACATCAGCCTGTTGTAAGCATCTATTAGTGATGTAGACATTATCCCCCTAACAAAACCTGTAAAATAATGCAATATACTAGCTGGACTGCTCAGAAACAAGCGTTGATAAAAAGCTTTGGGAAATGCGTTGCTGGCTGTGTTCATTTTGCATTCAAATTGGAATGCATTTTGCAGGCTATTTCTGAAAAGTGATGTACATTCTTAAATAGTAAGCTAAAACTTTTTTTAACAAGTTTAAAAAAACTGCCATATTATTATGCTCAACATTAATTGGCAGATAACTAGCAAATTGTATCATGCAAATTGAACCAACTCAGCTGGGAAGCTATTACATAAATACTTTTAAATAATTTTCAAAACTTACCAGACGATCTGTTACTGATGAGAATATGTTGTCTTTCAGCTTGGTGCAAAAATATCCGTTCAAGGTTTTGTGGGCAGTTCAACTTCACTTGAAGAATCTTTTCACCTTCTGCACGATTGATTGCAAGAATCTACAAAGAATATTAAAACATCATACACAGCAACTACTAACAATTAACACCTTGTTCAATGACCATTCCTTTTTCAGAGATGTGACATGATGTTCAAATCCTCACAATGCCAGATGATTTTCACATTAACCCTTTAAGTGGCAATGCTCCCTGATGTGTCCTACTTTACTATTTTACTCTGTCTAATGCCAGACGCTTTTACTCGTCAAGGGGAGAGTGCTACCACTCAATGGATTGATCAGACAGATTATCTGTCCATGCATCTGTTAACCCTTTAAGTGGGAATGTGCCCTTTTTATTTTGTCTAACTTACTCGTCAAGGGGAGAGTGCTGCCCAGTGGCAAAGCCAGCACAACAGTTTGGTCATGCTATGCAAATTTTAAATGATTATCATTATTCATTTCTTTAAAAATTTATTGTTTTCACGGTCTATGAACACGGAAATATTTGCATAGCATGACCAAATTGTCGGGCTAGCTTCGCCACTAGTGCTGCCACTCAATGGGTTAAAGGGTGGATTGTCAAATTCATATACATTATGCACCAATGCCTGGGGGGACAGAGTCTGTCAATAAATGAAAATACACTACTGTAATAGACTAAATGGAAATAATGTATCCCCACCACCTGTCACACCCCTCCACCACCTGCCCCCCCCCCCCCAAGATTGACAAGTTTGGGCTCTCCACTCACTCCACTGAACTATACCTGATGTGATTTAACTTGTTTCACTGAGAAAGAACTTTGATGATAGTCCTTGTATTTGGTTTCTTTTTCAAATTCCTCCCGAACTTTCGTTTCCAACGTGATACGACTGTTTTCAAACCTGCACAGTGTTAGGAGAAGTGACATCATGTCAACATCAAATACCAGACATAGTAAAAATTTGCACATGTTGTAGCTACTAGTAAAGTGGCAACCTGATGCACCCTACTTTATTATTTTACTCTGTCTAACACAGTGACGGACACTAGAGGGGGGGGAGGGGAGGGGGCGAGCCCCCCCACCCCCTCCCTCCCAATAATTTTGAAAGATTGTAGAAATCTTGTACCAAATGACAAATCACACTCATATAACGTAATTGTCATATTAAATAATAACTATCTGTTAATTAAATATAACGTTATCAAGGGGAGAGTGCTACCACTCAATAGGATGTTGTACTATAAGTTCAAGATACTCACATGGATTTCAACAAATTGCAAGCAAGTTTATCTTTAGATATTTTATCAGCAATGATATGTTGAACACCTTTTGTCACTTCAGCATTACTGGATAAACCTAGCAAGGATTGAATAGCATGGAAATTATTGAACACTATGGGGATGTACATTCCTGCTAATTTTCTTGGTAGATATGTGTGTTATGAGAGCCATCCCTCAGTTATAAATCAATTAAAGTTTGAAATTGCATCAGTTCACAGTCAAAATACAACTTAGATCTTAAGTGATATTTGCTGATAAATTTGTTTTAAACTGCCGCTCATAGTGTGTTCATACTATACAAATTTAAAATTGGCAACTACAATCATTTGATGGTACTTAAAAGTCAAAATTTTGCAACTTTTATGCAAAGAATCTAACGAAAGGTGTATCCTTTGCTACAAATTGACGTATATAAAGGAAAGAATTAGGGAAATTCTACCGCAATATTTGCCCATAAAGCGGTAATCGCTACAGAAAAATAGAAGAAATTACAGAAATACAAAACAAGTTGCAGAAGCGGAAGTGGGAAGGTTCTGACTTGTATATTTTGACTGTAAGCCAATGCCCTTATGCAGATCACACACCATACTGCTTTTTGGCTTCCTTTAGTGACTAATAACCTGAGGAGCCCTTGGAAATAAAATGTGTGGATCTAGGCATACCTAGGAGACAGGTAACCATTGTGGAACCACTGTTAAGCTGTTGTCAGTATTATCCAATTATTTAATATACTTGGTAAGCATCAGTCAATCCTGACATTTTATGGGTGGGAGCTGGCAAACCAATTGAGGACTGCCGAGGGGAAGGTTGCTACAGTAGATGGGTGTGAACCTTCTAGTAACCAGGCATCTTGCCCCTGGTTCAAATATGTTTGAATACCTTTTTTGCCTGGTTGTACAAATGCAGAGAGATTTTCTATATTTGAATCTCTACTGATAAGTTCGGCTGCCTTGTCAAGTCCAAGATTTCTCGCACGATTAGCCAAAGTTCCCTTCGATCCTGGTTTGAATGGTGAATACTAAAGTTGGGATATATAATATTTTAAGAGTAATAAATGGGTATGTTTTCACTTCAGTTTGAATTTGATGTTTTGTCAAATGTTAACCCATTGAGTGGCAGCACTCTCTCCTTGACGAGTATAAAATCGTCTGGTGTAATAATAGAGTAGGGCCTTAAAAAAAATACCTGTGGTTCCGGTATCCTGACATACCCTATTTTTTTCTGCCAACCCTATTATTTTTTTTCAACACAATTGACCGTGCAAACCTATTTTCTCCAGGTGGTTGCAGGCTGCTCATACAGCGTGCCAAAATGGCATCTGTTGTCACAATAATTATTGAACCAAAATGCCTAAATTCGTCCATAGGAAATACACATCTCTAGTTCATATTGATGTCAGGACTATACTGAAAATCGCCCAGCAAAAAAAACAAAACACCAAAATCATGAAGAAAAAAATATTTAAAAAAGTTATTTCCAACCTACCTACCCTAATTTTTCACAATATGAAACTGGAACCACAGGTATTTTTTAGGCTATGTTAATCCATGAAGTTATCCCATAATGTTGATGCAACTTACAATGTCTTCAACTTCCTGCAAACTTCTGGCATATTTTAAACTCTGTCTTATATCAGGAGTGATTTTTTCACCAATACTTTTAATAACTGAATCTTTACGACTTTCAACGGCCCTAGGATATAATACTGGTACATCATTGTTAGACCAAGACTTCAAGTAATATATGGCAGGGTGATTTGGTTCATGTCATATCTCAGCAAGCATGTCTATTTATCCTATTTGGTAGGCCAGCCTGTATCAGTATTACCACAGATGGTAATATATAATAATAGAGTATGTACCAAATTGCAAGGAATTTCAATGAAACCTCGTAAAAGCTAGAATTCTAGGGGGGGAGCACATAATAGTTTGCCTAATTTTTGGCTAACATGCTTGGACATTAAGACGTTCACACGGTACTGGACGAATTTGGGACAGGGCTGAAATTTGTCCTTTTTCGCCTGTTTACATGCAAATTCATCCAGTTAGAGGGTCTCAAATTCACCCAGTTCCATGGTTCTTGGGGAAAACGGAAGGCCGAAACGGACTAATTTCAGCCCAGTTCCAATTCGTTCTGTACCATGTAAACAGGGTCTAACAAATTAAGTTGCATGGTACTTCAATGGGTCATACTTTATTATTTTGCTGAATTTACTCTGTCTAACACCCATTTAATTTAATACTTGTCAAGGGGAAACTTTTTTTACCAACATGCAATCTTATAGAAAAGTGGACTCCGCATATTTGTATCCCCCCGTATTGCAAAACAGACACCAGTTATAAACTATAAAACAAAATAAAGATTGTCCTTTTAAAAATTTAAATCTCCCGCCATCTAATTACGTGCGCACATGCTTCAACAAATTTAAAAACATTCAAAGCATTATATATAGAAGACTCACTTTACTTGTTCTAACGATTCTTGAATCATACGTATCTTTTGTGCTTCAAGATTTCCAGTTTCATGTCGTCTATATCTGGCTATAAACGCAACAGTGTTGTCGTTTGTTAGAAGGCGAACGACATTCTCGACTGCTCGACATTCGACTTCAACATCGTCTGCAATAAACTGAATGATCTCCAACGTTTGAAGGTTTTTCCCCCGCTGATTTTTATCAGCACTCATGCTTAAAAAGATAAACTACATGTTGTCTTTAGACTTTTAAAACTGTCTCTATCGGGTGAACTTTTAAAATAGGACTGAACTTTTTACTGTACCTCCCTTCGTCACAGACTTCGTGTGGAAAATTCTACGTTTTCCGACACTTTCCGATTACGCACACCGAAATTTTCAAGATGGTGGTGACCAGGAGCGGAATATAAATGTGTCACTGAACTGAAGCAGAGGAACAGAAGTGTAACTTTTATTCGTTGATAGAATAGATATTTAGTGGGAAAATATGAAAATAAAAACATAAGGGTTTGGGGGTTTTGCAAAAAAGTTTAGACAGACCTTAGTATAGACTGCGAGCAATCCCTCTATTTTCCTTCGTTTTATTGTTTCCCGGACTAAGACTGAACGCGCGGGAAAATGGCAAAAAGGGGGGTCGCAGTCTAACCTTAGTACAGATCAGCCACCACCCGCGACGAAGGTTTAATGGACCTTGCCTTTACAATTATAGACACTTCCCAAATGTACTCGAGTGCGCACGGGACAATCGTACGAAGTCGAGGCTGGATAACATAGTCATTTTTCAGCCTCGAGTTCAAACTATTGTTTCGTGTGCACTCACACAAATTGAGAAAGGATGTCGAGAGTTTATCAGACAATCGTCGACGATCTTGCGAGCCCTTGAATTAAACTTGTTCAAAGACAATTGGTTGTACAAGTGAGCGGTTTACAACCGTCTTGACGCATTTAAAGCCATGTTTCATGGCAGGTAGATGACTAACGATTGTCCATTTGTTTGTCTTGAAGTTATAACACTCGACAGAATTCTGAACGACACGACCATAAGATCCACCAAACACATAGATCTTGTTGTTGAAACAAGCTGCTGTGCAGTGGTCCCGACATTCACTCATGGCTGCAAGGAAAATATTTTACAATGAGGCCAGCCTGTTGCACAAACAGACGAGCAAATTTATTGACTTGTTCGTTGGCTTGCTATATCACTAGTAAACTGTTCTCCCCAGAAGCTCAGTAAAGGGTAAGAAAGCTGTGAAAGGTCGTACTACTACCTGGAAAATACAAGGAGAATTTCAACTTGAAGTCTCTCTTTTTTCAAGTAGTTGTACGGCCTACCAATCTACAGCTTTCTTATTATTTGGCACTATCTACACTGGCACGTTCCAGATTATAAACCAGCAAAGGGTAACCTTTATTGGTCCAGCAGGGTCGTACGCAGCGGGAGGAGC